TATATATATATATATATATATATATATATATATATATATATATATATATATATATATATATATATATATATATATATATATATATATATATATATATATATATATATATATATATATATATATATATATATATATATATATATATATATATATATATATATATATATATATATATATATATATATATATATATATATATATATATATATATATATATATATATATATATATATATATATATATATATATGTACATATATATATACATATATATGTATATACATATGTATATGTACATATACATATACATATGTATATATATGTATACATATATATGTATATATATACATATATATGTATATATATATATATGTATATATATACATATATATGTATATATATATATATATATATGTATACATATATATGTATATATGTATATATGTATATATATATATATATATATGCCCATTGCGCTTGGCACCACATGTTAATGTTCCGGTCCACAAAGCATTGCTCACCCAAGACATTGACTGACTCATGTCAAGAGCTCGTACCACGTCACAGAACAAGGAGGCGGTATAAACATCATTTACTTGCTCGAGGCAAAAGTCATTGACGAGATCTCCTTGCTCTTTGGCATGCAGTTGATCACAAGCTCCCATGGCAAGAGAAAGACAGGAGACGAAGAGCAGCGTTGCCTCCAGTGGCTGGACGAGCAAGACCCGGCATCTGTAATGTATGTCTCGTTTGGAAACGTGATCGAAAGTATGGGAAAGGTAGGAAGTCGAATGGAGCAAATAGCTCTGGGCAGAGTCAAGTTCGCAGCCAGTCCCATGGGTGATGAGGCCAGATCTCTCCAAAGCAAGTTCTTGGAGGGTTCCTAGCGAGGGCTAACGAGTGAGGGTGGTTTCACTCCTCGGCTCAAGGTTCTCCAGCACAAGGCCATTGGGGTGGAACTCGGTAAGCTCAACAAGAAAGCCGTACATGTAATAGCATACCTCCTGTTCCTCTAGAAATGGATGACTTCCACGGCAAGCATGGTGGCGGAAACCAATGCTTGGAACGCCCAGCTCGGAAAAAAGAAAAAAGAAACCGAAAAGGACGCTATATTATACCCTAAACTTAAGGGTTTTCCCATGACGCAGCTCCTGCGGCGTGCTGTGTCTCAGGTATCGCGTGCATACCGCTCCCGTCTCCAGACCGCCGCCACCGCCAATGCAGTGCTCTCGTGTACCACTTTCAACATTCATGCTCCAATTTACAGGCGCCTGGGCCATGATGAGGTTTGTTTGATATATGCGAAACTTTGACATCCGGCTATAATCCACCCCCATTGGTGTTTGCAGGAAAGCCGTGAAAGTGGATCCCGTGATCTTTGGCTGAGCAGGAACCAAAAAATTCTGGACCTGCTGCTGCAGAAGAACTCGTCAGTCGTATGTTTGCAGGTATTGTGTGCAAGTTTGTCCATGCCATAGTAGCTGATATGCACGGGCACCCCGCAGGAGTTTTGGCTTGCCAACGATGAGCTTGTGCAGCTGTACGATCGTCGTCTGGGTGATGCTGGTTACAAGAGGTATAAGCTGGCGAGAACCAACGACCGGGGTGACGGTGAGTCTCTCTTCAAGTTACCTCCCCTCTCTGATCACCCGATGTATCAATTCTCAGGGCTCCTCACTGCGGTGAAGAAGGATGCACTCCGGGTGCTCGACTGTCGAGAGCTACATTTCCACGACTGCGGTGACCGCGTCGCTCAAGTCCTACACCTGAAATCCAACGACAAGATCGGCCCTCGGGAACAGCAACAAGTTGTTCTGGTCAACACCCATCTTATCTTCCCTCATGCTTCCAACTACAGCCTCCTGCGGCTGCGACAGGTATGCGCTTGGGGAGGGATTGTGATCACTTGTGCCATGCATTGTGCTTTGCTTGCAGGCGTATAAAATTCTCAAATTCGTGGAACATTTTAAGGACGAGCGCAGCCTGTCGCATGCACCGGTTCTGCTCTGCGGGTACGATGTTCGGGTTTCGGTAGCTCTCATAATGTACACGAACAACGTTTTTGTTTCTTCTGCTTTTTTCTGCCTGCCTGTCTCTCAGTGACTGGAACGGAAGCAAGCGAGGCCAGGTCTACAGATTCTTGCGCTCTCAAGGGTTTGTGTCATCTTACGACATGGCACGGGAATACTGGGACATCGATGCAGATGCACATCGGGTAAGAAGTAAAGGCTGAGCCTCTAGAGGTTTACATGCTTCAACTGTTCATCAATGTCTCAGTGGGTGAGTCATCGAAACCACCATGGGAACGTATGTGGAGTTGACTTCATATGGCTGCTGAATCCCACCCGACAACAACCGATCCCCCTGAGGGAGAGCTGGAAAAGAGCCGTGTTCGGCATCATTAAGTTGAGTTTTTCTGCTAGCTTTGTATACTTTGGCAGTTTATTTTATCTGACCTGGGACCGGTTTTCGCCTTTTCAGTCGACGCTTCTTCGTGAGCATGGCAAACAGGGGCGAGATGCCTTCGGTTTCTTCCTGCAAGGCAAAGAGCATGTCACTGACCAAGATTTCCATGCCGCAATCAAGCGAGTAAGTCTTTTTGTGCTTCTTCTGAGTTCATATTTTCTGGTGGCATACAGCTCGAGCTATCCAAGGACGAGCTAGCAGAGGAGGATCTGGAAGGCCTGTCCAGAGAAGAGGTCGAAGAGCTCATCGTGGCTGCAGACCTCGACGCCAACGGAGTGATCGACTACAAAGATTTCCAAGTATGCTTTCTCTGGAGTCAATGGTTTACAATGCCGTGAAAACATAAATATATGCAGGAGAGGCTGCTCAACCACGAGAAAAAGAGCTGGTTAACGAGGCTGTTTCAGGGGCTGCATGAGACGAAGAGCCTAGCGGGAGCGGATCTACAAGTGCAGCATGCATCATTTTATCCTCCACAGGTCGAGGAGGGGACTTGGCCCGAGAGCTATTCACTTTCAGACCATGCTCCCCTTACTGCTAGCTTTTGTCCCAGGCAGCCAGGGATGTTAGCGCTGTAAAGTCAAACGACTTGATTTTTTGATTTGGATTCGAAACGAAAACTCGAAAACTCGAAAACTTTTAAAAACTTGAAAAGCATTCACTCTGCTGCAGGAAGAGGCCTCTGCTCCTGGACTGCAGGCTCCTTTCGGACGCTCCATTGGAAGCAGCTCTTCAAGCTGTTGAACCACTCCACACTTCCGTCAGTTTTGGTGACGATTGGCACAGGGTAGCGGCTGGCTTTGACCACAATCTTGTCTCCTCGCGCAACCTCTTGCCGGTGCTTGCCATCAAACGAGACGTATGCATCGTCCCTGGCGTCGCGGGGAACCTACCATGGACGCTTACAGAGAGAAAAAAAGTAAAATAGAAAAGCTGGTAGCTTGAGTTCCAAGGTGGTAGAGTCCGGGAGCACCAGAGGGCGAAACGACAATGAGTGCGGACACACAGGAGTAAACACAATCCCAGGGACGCTGGGGTGGACCAGAGGCCCGCCTGCGGCGCTTGAGTAGCCAGTGCTCCCGGTGGGTGTTGCAACGATTATCCCATCGCCCTGCAACTGTAATTTCCAGAGTGTGACTATAAACAAGAAAAGAAAAAGAGGAGGACTACCTTTGTGATGAGGTTTCCCTCTTGGAAGCACTCTATCTTGCAGATGAAGGGGCTGGAGCCTCTATCCATGACAAGTTCGTTCAGAATATGGTGGACGCGGATATTGTATTCATTGGGCTCGTGTTGCTGGTTTTGACGCACGATTTCACACTGTAGCCGCATCTTCATGATTACATGCACTGTCCTGTGGAGGAGCTGCGTGAGCTCCTCCCTGTAGCGACAAAACTACAACCAAACATCAATTGTCAAGATTAAATCACGGAAACTAATCTAGAGCCACTTACTGGATGCCTGGACGTCATAAAACTAAGAGACCCGAGGTCGAAGCAAGCAATTGGCGGTACGAACTTTGGAAAGAGGCTGGACGCATGTACACTTCCTCAAGGCTAGAAATCAACCAGCAAAAAAAAAAAAAAAAAAACAACACAAAACTCTTTTCTAAAGAAACTTATATGTAAAGCAAGCAATATACCCGACATCGCCAATGGCCTGGACGAATTTGCTGCCTAATTCGTTCTCCAGTTGTGCGTGGAGATCAGGCTCAGCCAGGACTCTCACCTTTTCATTGTTCAAAAGAGAGACTACCTGTAGGGAGAGCGTAGGAAAGAAGACTTGGCAGGGTGACTTACCTTTGTGGCATTGTCGAGAAGCTCGGCTCCAGGCTTCTTCAGAAGCAGTGCAGTGGTGGGAGTGCGCTTCCACACCCACCGAGCAGCTGGAAAACAGCATTGAGAGAAATGTGCCGTGAGAGATAGAAAGCACTCTTGAAGAGAAGAGGAACCTTGGTCGAAAGCTGCGGTATTTGAGGCACCATTGAAGTGCGACGTCGTGATCCATCGCCAGGAGGCACCAAGCCTCCTGCTTTGAGGCCAAAACGAAAATATATCTAGATCACCTGCTCGTCAGATGGCGGCCCGCAGCAGCAAACCGAAACATAGCTGAATGATGACCGCAAAAGCAGGACGACGGCACCTTCGCTTGAGCGCCTTCTCCCGAGCTCCTCACACGGAATCTACAAGGAACATTCCGTCGACCGAGAACACGTACCGGGAATATTCTCATCTGGCCGTGAGTGACGTGGACCCGGTCACGGTGCCCTAAGACTTTGAACTGCCATTCCCGCCATTGGCATATTCCCAAAGTACGAGGTATCATTACACAAGAACTTGTTTGGTAGTCTTGTGGTACCCAATTGAAAACATGAGGCTGATGAATGCAAAAATGCAAGTTGGAATTATCTTTTTTGCCTTGTTTCCGGCACTCTTTAAGGAAAAATATTTATAGAATATTTTAAGAATAATTTAAAATTTTGTCTTATCATAATGATGAAGATAAATAAATAAATTTAAATTATTCTTATAATGTTCTTAGAATATGTTTCTGTCCAGCCCTATTAATATGACCAGAAAGAATATTTTAACCATGTATAATTTAATGTTGATTACCAGACCATTTAATTCTTTTCCAAAAAGAATTTTAATCTTCTACACACCTGAGCGTGCCGAGTACTCACGGACCAGTGCTGCAAACAAAGACGTTGGTCGTTCGAGCAGCACTGACGGCCGATCGTACTCTTTCACCTCTCCTGGCAGAAAGGAGAAAAAAATAAATAAAGAGTTAAAGCACAAGCAACATTATGAATTCATTTACCTTCGCCCATCACCAAAACTTTGTCACTGTCCATCACAGACGGGATCCTGTGAGCCACGCTCACCACTGTCGACGACGCGAATTGCTCGCGGATCGTCTTTTGGATGACCGCGTCCGTCTGTGCGTCCACGGATGCAGTTGCCTCGTCCAGGAACAAGAGCCGGCTGTCTTTCAGCAATGCCCGTCCCAAGCAGAAGAGCTGCTTCTGCCCAACGCTCCAGTTATCGCCATTATCCACCACTGCCACCAAAAGTCTATCTCAGCTACAGAACAAGAAATCTAGGAACCATACCAGATGAGTCGAGCCCTCCGGTTTTCTGTTGAACAGCATCCGCCAGCTGACACTTTCTTAGAACCTGTGGAAGAGAATTATCGTGTCCGCAAGTTTTTGAGAAAGCTAGTATACCTCCCAAATCCGATCGTCCGAGTACTGGCCAAGTGGATCTACGTTGCTTCTTATGCTGCCTTCGAACAGTATGGGCTCCTGGGGTATGATTCCAAACCGGGACCTCAGGTCAGCTAGTCCGAGCTGTGTGATGTCAATGCCGTCAATTCGAACTTCGCCCCCACACGGCTCTACCAGCCTGAAGAAGGCTTGAATCAGCGTCGACTTTCCACTCCCGGTTCGACCAACAACGCCAACTTTGTCTCCTCCTTGGATAGTCAAGGTTACTCCTTTTAAGACGAGAGGAGTGTTTGGCCGATACCGAAGCTGGTAAAACGATGCAGCGTTATAATACACGAGAGAACTTCTGTGAGAGCTTACTTGCAAGTTTCGAACAGCTACAGTTCCTTGGCTGGGCCATATTAGAGGGGGCCTGTAGTCGTCATTTATCCTCGGGGCCTCACTTTCGATGGTAGTGTACTGTCGGATTCTTTCTACAGAAACCATTTTGTTCTCCAGCATGCATGCGATCCACACCGACCAGAACAAGGACGAATTGAGCACCAATCCATACGATAGGGCGAGACCAACATTTTCTGTAACAGAAAGGAAATGAAACACGAGTAACACTGATCCAAAGCTTATTACCAGGTGCGATAATACTCGCTGGAAGAGTCACGAGCAACAAAGCCGATGCACAGAGAACGATTGTGCCGAGCAGCTCTAGCCTCAATCCAAGCCACTCGTTCGAGGCAATGTTATGAAACTCCATGCGTATGTTGGTGTTTACCCTGTCCACATTCCCATCAATAAAGCTTTCTTGCTTCTTAAACGCACGGATAGTTGGCAGTCCTGCTAATGTCTCGGAGAAGTGGAAAATGACTGGAGCTTTAGAGATAGAATCCAAACGAGTAAGTTCTCTAGATGTTGTGATATAGTAATTCTGCAAAGACGGGTTTTTCAATTCAAGAGACGAAGAAATCCTACCATACCTGGTAAAAGAGGAAAGCCCAAGCAAGAGGCAGTATGAGAAAAATCAGTGGCCACGTAACTTGACATGCCACTATCACAGAACCAAGAGTTCCCAAGAAAGTCGCTATGGTTCCTGATACAAAAAACGGCACGAGCACGTCAAGCTGAGCCTGATCAGTAGACGACTGCAACAGCGAGAAACAACAAAATTAGCAAGAAAACGAAGGAAAGAATCGAAAAACTTATCGTGCTTACTCTGCTCAAAATTCTTCCCGACGGCGTTGTGTCAAAGAAAGACATTGGACTTCGAAAAATGCTGCGCAACATGTCGAAGTAGAACATCTGTGCTGCTTTCAATCCCGCCACTGTCTGAAACGATACTCTTCCTATCACCAAAACCCAGGATATCGCGCAGAGGACCAAGTAAACTTTCACAAATGCGGCCGCACTGAAAGACGTCTTCGCCGTTTCTGCCGCAAGCCAGTAGTCACTTGCGATGCTCACCACTGTCCACAATCCTTGACACGACACAATAATGGGGAGTGTTGGCCAGCCGAATGCTTTGGTGAAGTACAGCCAGTAGACCCTCCATCCGACTCGTCCGGCTTCTCTTTGTTCCTCGTCAATAAGCTTGGCTGAGCCTTTTAGTTTCTGCGGCTGACGGGGCCCTGTTATCGAAGGCCTTCGTTTGAATGACAGCTTTCGTTCCTGAGTAGCCTCGAGAGGGAGATCAGTTATACCATCTTGCTCGTCCATGCTAATTGATTCCATTGCGCTGTGATGAGCAGCTACTAAAACTTCCAAGTCTGTTCCTTTTTGTAAGAGTTCCGAGTACTTGCCAGATTGAACAATCGTGCCATCGCGCAGAACCTACAAAAGTTGTGGTTAAGAACAATAAATAGTAAAAGAAAAGAAGAAAACGTACCAGAACCAAGTCGGCGTGATGCAAAAATTCAACTTGATGCGTAACCAGCAACACCGTCTTCTTTCGCAAAGATCCAAGTATACATTCCTACGAAATAAACAAGACTATGTGACTCAATAATATGAACAGAAAGTTTAGAAGTTGCACCTGAAACAAGTGCGTGCCAGTGTGAGCGTCCACAGCACTGAAGACATCGTCAAGCAAATAAATGTCCGAGTCTTGGTACACAGCTCTGGCCAGCTGAATGCGCTGCTTCTGCCCACCGCTGAGATTGATACCTCGCTCTCCAATTTCCGTTTGGTCCCCGAACTCCATGAGTTTGAAGTCCTGTTCTAAGGCACACGAACGGACTACTGCAGCGTATCTCGCCTTGTCCATTGGCAAGCCGAACAAAATGTTGTCTTCAATCGTCGCGTTTTGTATCCAGGCAGTTTGTGGAACATAGGCCGTGCTGCCGGAAATTCTTACCTGGATAGATTTAAGAAAGCGTTAGACATATCATGTTCTGAGACCAGAAAGTCCTACCTTTCCCGAGAGCTTGCGCATTTCTCCAAGCAAAGCCGTCAGCATCGATGACTTTCCGGATCCCACAGTCCCAACAATCGCTACAAGTTGGCCTTTCTTCACGTGGACATTGATATCTTTCAGCGTGGGTTCATCCTCTTCCCAGGAAAACGTCCCGTCCTCAACATCGACGGCAGCATCGGCATCCGCTGGTAGCTTCTCCACAGCTTTCGTGTCCAGTTCATCACTGACCATGTACTTATCCAGCCGCTCTAGCGACACCAGCGATTGCGAGATGGAGATGAGTGCCTGAGGAAATGCTCGGACAGGCTCTTGCAGTATGCGAAAAGTTGCGGTGGCTGTAAAAACTTTGGCGGCAGTTAGCTCGACGTTAAATGCCACACAAGCCGCAAAAGTTACCGTCGCCACCAGCGAAGAACACATCCACAGGGCTGCTATATTCTGAGCAAGGACAATTAGGAACTTGCGTAGAGATGTGTACTCCCTCATCCTGTACCCCTCGACTCGGCCTAGAAAGTGATCCTCCCACGCCTGGAACTTGATGATCTTCATAAAGTTGAGAACCTCGCTCGTAGCTTTCATCCGTTCGTCTCTCATGGCCATGAGTTTGGTCTGGTGTTCTCGCTGCTTCTTTGTGTAGTAAAAGTTGAGGGCGATAATAATCGCCATGACAAAAAAGCCGGCTAGCATAGGCAATCCCATAACTCCGTACAAGATGGCGAGAGCTATGCAAACTTGTGCCGGAAGAACCCAGAGGTTGTGGAGCTGGTACATCAGATCCGAGAGCTGCTGAGCATCCACCACCATGTAATTCACAATGTGGCCAACTCCATGACCCTGCTTGGACGAGCTCGAGAGACGAAGGCCTTTCTGGTAAACAGCAGCGATAATCGTCGAGCGAACCATCATTCCCAGCTTCATACTTTGGAAGTTATACTGATGAGACGAGAACACCTCTATGACTTTAGCGATCAGCAAAACCAGGACGAGAAGGTATCCTTCGTAAGCCGGGCCTTGATAAGCATTGGCGGTATAGCTGACAAACCTCTGAATGAGAATCGGACCAGCGTACATGACGCAAAGCCTGATCAAAGCCAGCAGTCCGTTGCGAAAGAGAATGCCGCCAAAGCATTTTAGTAACGTCGATCTCACAGGATGGCTGCCCGGGTCGTTCTCTGGCCAGTCCCTCTTAAAACGCGAATAGTTACTCTCAGCTCTGTCGTCGGGTGCCAGCAGCGGAATATCATGGAGTTGGAGCGGACTCTTGTATCCCTTGTCTAGCAGCGGTGTCAACCACTTCCACACGGCCCTGTTGAAGACCCCGGCAGTAGCGTACCCCGTCGTAGGAAGGACCTCTTCAGCAATGCCATCGTCCACAACCTTCTCCAAATGCCCGTCCTCCAGCAGTGGTTTGGCCACGCTCGAAGAACAAATGACAATGCCTGTCCAGCCTCGGATAGCCACCATGAGGAAGAATATAGAAACCGGTAACATAACCAGCGAGACGATGCCATTGCCAGCAAGGTGGGCGTCGAATCTTAGTACTACTCTCTGCACTGCAGTAGAGAAAAGCAAGGCTGACAACAAAAAATCAATCACCCACCAGGATCGAATCGTCCAAGGGTGGACAAGGACATTAAATTTCTTCTCGTGTCCAACGATGACGACAAAGCAGAGCCACTTGAAAGTCTGTATGGTGGAAAAAATAATGTCGACTGTAGCAACCGAAGCTTCTTCGCGGGCCAGTTTAAGCCAGAGCAGACAAGCATCCACGGCGGCGTAGAGAATGCCCGCCATAGATGCGAGAGCCAGAGTTGCGTGAAACATCTTCGTGGACTTGGTAGTCGTCGCCTCTTTCCCATAGCTGGAGTGTCGTGATGTTCTAAGCTGCGAGGCCGTCTTTATGATTGCAAGCACCACGAACACCGCTAGAAAGAGGAGCTGGATCACGGAAACGATCGCCCGTTGCGAGCAGGGATTGAAGAGATAGAACATGATCCAGTCGAGCGTAGATTCGGTGACAGCATTCGTGGAGCATATCTGGAGGAGGAGGAAATCTCGGGACGAAACTTCTGGTGGTCAAGCCAAAACTTTAATGCTATGTAACCAAGAACACTAACGACGTACCATCCATCGTGAAGCCAAAGAGGAGAGATTTCGTCAGATATAGAAATGCCGCTGGCCAAGAGGCCCTCAAGAACAGTCGAGCTGGTGGAACGAGCAGTGACAAACCACTCAAACTGAGAAGATCTTACCAGAGCGCCGGAGAGCTCCATGAATCCTTGTGAATCACGCACCAGCCTTCGAAATATCAATGCCGCCGGGGCTGTGAATGAAATATCGATCCACCGATCGAGATCGCTGCCGAAATATCGATCGACAAAGATCGCTGCTGCCGAAATATCGATCGACAAAGATCGCTGCCGCCGAAATATCGATCGACAAAGATCGCTGCTGCCGAAGGCCGGGACCTTCCACAAACTTGGGGCGCGATCGATGATCGATTGCGCTGCCGCGGCGGGCGTCTGTCGGCGAGCGAGCGCCCCGCCAAGCCCGGGACCGCCTTGGAGAAAAACCAGGAAATTTGACCCTACGATACAAGCATCGTACAATCGTCCAAGCCAGTAACATTTTGGAAGCTTGTAATTAAATGAATTTCTCCCTCTTCTTCTTTCTTTCCTTTTGCGAGCCAGGGAAGTTTAATGCCCCAACACGTCAATTGTAGATAGGCAGTCATTCATGACCTGGCCATCGATCAAATGGTTGTTCCAGAACTTGACAAGTAGGAACATGAAGCACCTTCCACAGATTAAAAAAAAAGAAGCTTAGAAACTAAAGAACAAAACCAAACCAAACAAAGGGGGTGTCGCTTACCTGCGCAGAGAAGGAGATTTGCGAAACTCTTCCGCATGGAGCTTTACGAAAGCCTGACACGCCCACGGACAATGACCATCGGCTATAACTCTGTAGCAGCGTGTTGATCCAAGCTAGAAAAACAAAGGTTGTGTCTCTCTCACCTTTGTCTACGAACAAAATCGTTCCAGCGGTGCATAACATCCTTCTCATCCTTCGTCACGTCGACAAAGTCGTCCAGCATCTGAAAGGAATTGCGTTCTCAGAGACATGTGCTAGGAATCCGTTTGACAGAGTTCTCATACCCGACAATCTTCCAGACTCGCAATTGCATCGTCGAGCTCGTCTTCGCTGTCCTTGTCAGACAATAGCTGCTCGCTTGCCATGGGCTGAAACACGAATGATTTAGACTCGAACTCCGGAAAGACTACTGACTTACCTGACCGGTGTGCGCATGAAAGAACTGACGCTTCAGAAGTAAAGCTCGACTGCACACTCGAAAGAATTGTCAGTACGAGATCACAAAGTTTGTGCCAGAACAGAACGCTTACTTTCGTGCTTCAGCGCGCTCACTCGTGACCTTGCGGCTTTTCTCCACCCTCGGGCCAGAGGATCTCACGAGCTTCTTCGGAGGAAGCAAGGCCAAACCATCGCGGGATGCACCAGCGCGGATTAAACTTCCGCTCGCTGCAGAAGCTGGAGGGACACCTTTGAAAACTTCTCCAGTCTTTTCCCCGCGCTGCTTCTTTGGCGGAGGAAGAGAAAAACGCCTGTCCGACAAGGAGATAGTTCTCAAAAACTCCTGCCTCGCGTCCAACTCTTTCTCCGATGTACTCGCCACCGAGCGAGTTTCCTCTGCATTGTGTGCTGTGTCGTCGGACTTCTTTCTCAGCTGCGACTCCAACCTTTGAGAGGAACCGTCGGCCAAGTAGATCGGTACTTGCTTGAAGAGCTGGTTGCCCCCGTGACCGTTCGAGTGCAACACAGCTCCAAAAGCGGTCGTGCATGTTGAATCCTTGAAACTGCCAGTAGAATGCTCGTAGCCTTTACGCACCAGAATAGTTTTGCCGTTTTCCAGGTGACCATTGGTCCGGAGTTCTGTTTGAGTGAGCCGATAAGACTTCAACCTCTGTCTTTTAACGGAACTAACATGAGAGCTGCAAGCAGCAAATCAATAGAAAGTTTTAAGCTCCTCCCGCAACGTGAAATTGACACTCACCAATAGTAAAAACTCTTTAGTCTAGGATCACTCAAGACTTCAATGTCACTGTCAATACTCTTAAGGAAAACAAAGCGGATGCTTAGTAACAGAATTATAAATGCGGCTGGAAAGGAAAAATCACCTCGAATCCGTAGATAGCGCTCTTACAAGTAACGATAACGGCCTGGATATCCCCCGTAGCCTGACAAAAGCATAAACAACGGTCACGAAACCCTGTTTTAAGGCGGCAAGACGGCAAACCGAGTATTCAAAATTGAAACGATCATGCGACGAGTCCAAGTGACAACGCAAACCCTGTGAATGAATGAAACGCAAGAAACTTCGTAATCTCTTGAAACTAAAAGGCAAAAGTTTCGATATTTACCTTGAAAGTCCAGCAGCAAGCCAGGCAAAAAGGGCACGAAAAATTCTCCGTCGCTGGAAGCACAACAAAACACTGTCAAGCGGAGATCTCGCTAAACGCAAGAACACGCAAAACCTTCAATTTTGCGAAGCCTGTTGAAGTAGTATAGGTAATGAAATATCACCCTTCCAAGAGGCCTACAGCTGCGTTCTAAGCAAGGAACAACATCAATTGGTGGAAAAGAAAAGAATGCAGGTAGAACTTTACCGTCTCTCGCGTCTCGCTTGAATCTTGTAGCTCAGGGAGCGCTGGAGAAAGATAGGCTACAACAAAGAAAAAAAATTCTTTAGACCCCAAGAAAGAACGAAACCAAAACAAAAAAAAAAAGAGAAGGAAAACAAGCTCAAGAACGCTACCTGGACGATAGCTCGGCGCTGGATGATGTTGTAGAGCTCCACCGGCTTGCAATACTGGTAAAGACTCTCTTGAGCTGCCTTTTGATCCACCACCGCCATTCTCTCCATATCTTTCCCCAAATCCATGGAGTGATTCGGCCATGACGGCCGCGATGACTCCGCCAAGGTCATCGCGCGCCCCGGCCACTCCCAAATCCCTGCGAGCCTACATACCCCAGGAAATCGCTAGGCGCTCGAGCCGGGCGGATCTATACTGGCGCCCTCGCCGCCCCCTCCCCCGCGCTGTGGATCTTCCTGGTAGGGTTTTTAGATTTGCGGTGGTTGGGGATATTCCCCAGGTACTTTGGAGGATCAAACAAAACGGTCAATTCGAGTTTTACTCTCTCCATCCACGCGGTAAATATCCAACGAGACACCTCGCGTTTTTATTCGAGTCCAAACAAAACTGGAGATTCTTTTGCTATTTTTCTGGCCTCGATGGCGTTGGCGAGCTTGGTGGCTTTAGATCTGGATACTGTGACAATTTGTGGAAAGTTAGCTTCATCTATCTTAATCCAGAGTTTGAGCTTACCAGGATGTAAGGCGACGACGGTCTTGATGGCTTCTTCTCTTCCGAAGATTGTGAGCTCGGTGCTGGAGTTTCTTCTTCTTTTGCAGCGACGATTGGAGCTGGAGCTGGAGGTGAAGCTTCGACCACCTTCTCTTCATTAACAGAAGCAGGATCGCTTGAAACTACGGCACCATTCCCAGCCGATACTTCCTCAAACTTGGGAAGCAAGGCCTTGCCAACGCCCTGATCTCAAGAGTTTAGCATCGCAGAGGGACTAGAGTTTTTGTGTGACTCTACCTGGATCTCTTCAACGAGCTCTTTCGGAGCGACCTTGGTGTCGAGAAACGTCTTGATCTGTTGCAGCGTTTTCTTCCGGTCCTGCAAACGAGTGTGTTAGGCTGGACTCGAATGCGTGAGCGTGAGTTTGTCCAACCTCGGCGAACAAGAACTTTTTGGCAAAGAGCTGGAGGAGCGCGACAGTCCCGACGAGCTGGAGAGCTGTTTCTGCCTGGGAGAGGAAGAGTTCATCAAAAGATCAAACTTTTTTTCGTCGTTCTTTCTTTCGTTTTACCTCGGAGAAAACAACGAGGCCGACCCCGGCAGCAGCAGCCACTCCCAATGTCGCTGGGACAAGATCACTTTCCTGAATGCCCGAATTCATCAAAGAGAAAACACGCGAAGAAACAAAACCCTGTGCCTTAACTTACAAACTGAATGGCTTCTTTCAGAGCATCCAGGTTGAGCGAGAGTCCCTTCCGTGGTAGCAACCATGGCAATTCGCTTTGCTGCAAACCTCCAGATTTATTTTGTGTGACCAAAGAAAGCACAGGGAGAAAGAAACTTACTTGCCAGCCTCGGCCACCTTCGGCACCATCTTTGATACCATAAGCCTCCTTAAAGCCATTGGTAGCTAGCAACTTGGCGACTGCTAACGAGTTCCCATCAAAGCTGTGATCACAGTGGTTTAGATCATCCAAGAACAAAAGCTTCTAGCTCGAGGAGGATCACGTACCGATCGAGAATGTACAAGGTTGTGCTTGCCGGATCCTTGAATTTGCTCTTCACTTTCGCGACGAAAGCATCCTGCTCCTGAGAGAACGAAACCTGGAGCACTCTCTTCTTGAATTGCCTCAAATCCGGCGTCCCCTCGGCCTTGATGTCGCTGGGCTCTCGGATATCCAAAATCTGGAACGCTGGATCCTTCACTGCGAGCTTCTCATACGCTTCTTTGGCGGACACGACACCCCATGGCTGCTTCCCTCCGGCCAATCTCGAAATGAGAACCGGCAGTGCGATTGCCAGAAGACCTCCAGCCACGGCCGCGGGATTATCCGATACAAAACCTAGCACGGACTCCGCGACGCTGAAATCGATGCCATCCGCGGGGCTGATTGCCGATGCCGCGTCGATTGGAGTCGCCGCTCCAGCCGCGCGCTGGATAATTTCATCGTATTCCGGCAGCGCGGACGCGATCCCGGTCGAAATTCCCGAGCCGATCAGCGCCAATGCGGCGTGCTGCGACACTTGAGCGATCCGCCTGTGGATCGACAATGGCGGCAGCCTGAGCTCCGCCGCTGCTGGAAGAGAGGGCTTGGACGCCCAGGGAGGGAGGAGCGAAGCCGTGAGATCACGTACCATCTCCATTGTGGTAGATCACAGGCTCCATTCTTCCGCCATAGCCTTCCACTGCGCCACCTGGCGATGATGCTCTGACACGTGGCAAGGAACTGGCCAGCGGATTATAAGATAAGCCCTAAAACGAAAAATGCCCGGGAAAAATAAACCCTAAATCTCGGGGCTATGGCTTGTCGAGGTAAGCGCCGGCGCCCCTCCGCTTGTTCGTTCTTCTCATTTCCATTGCGATCTTTCAGCTAGCGCCTGCTGTATCGGGCACAATGCGTGGGATTTTAGTGCCAGGAATTCGAAGAGAAGGGGAGCTATGGCGCTACGCTGCTCGGCCAGTGGAAACGATCAGATTTTGCGATGTGTTTCCAAGAATGCTGAGGTATACAAGAGATACACCCCTGTTGCAAGCTGGTAATGCTCTCCCCCAAGATCAAAGCTTGTTGTATTGATTGATTTTTCCTTTGTTCTTGTTTTCTCTTTGGTTTTTCTATTCCACTCAGGTCTCTGTTCTTAGTATTGTTGGAAATCATTTGGTCCAAGAGGCCCAGCGCCGTCATCAAACATCTCCGACGGTTTGTTTTTTCTCGACACTTTAAGTTTCTTCTTTGGAACTGATATGTCGTTTGAACTTTATATTCTTTCTTAAGGCCTCCGCAGCTCTTGGTCGAGCGCTTCTGGGAACACTTTTAGTAGCTTCACTTAAGGATGACGCTGAGACTGTCCAGGTGATTTTCATGTGGAAAAGTTTCAGGAAGACTTCCTTACTGTGTTTTTACAGATAAGTTTTCTAGGTAGAGGGCCTTTAGGACAAATGACAACAGTGGCCTCCCAGTCGAAACTTGTCAAAGGTTTTGTTTCAAATCCTTTGTGCGACCTTCCTCTAACCTCGCAAGGAAAAGTACGTTACTTCTTTGATCTAAGTTATTATAGGATTGATTATTCTCGGACATCAGCTTGATGTAGGGACTGCTGTCGGTGCTGGTGCTCTAAATGTCGTGCGGAATCATCCTCGGTGGAAGCAGCCATACACGTAAACTCAAGTTTTGTACGAAAGTGGACGCGTTACTTGACGATCAAAGAATGTTTATGCAGTGGTAGCACGCCGATATACAGCGGTGAAGTTGCAGAAGACATAGCTCGATATCTTGCTGAGAGCGAACAGGTAATGGCTGGCCGCTGCATAAAGCAACGATTTAATGTTTCTACTTCGCCAGATAAACACTGCCCTCGGAATTGGAGTAGCGTTTAGTACTCAAGGCACGGTGAAAGCTGCTCGGGGATACCTCGTGCAGGTTAGTCTTTGCTTGTTCCTACGGCTCACGAATGATCCTGACGATCAGGCACTGCCGTTTTGCTCGGAAGAAACTCTTACGCGGCTCGAAAAGAACGTCGCAAGCATGCATTCTTTGTCGGATCCTTCTTTGGATATGACTGCTCGGGAGATGATAACTCGCCTATTGGAAGGAATCGGCACCGATAGTTTCAGTGATCCGGTACGTAACCTTTCTTTATCAAATTAAAGTAAGATTCTCGTGTATCAGGTTTTTCCGGAATTCGGGCCTTGCGGCGTCGAGGACCTCAAGCCTCGGATGATACGGGCAGTGGCTTCTTTGGGAGCAAGCGATGTGAGAGAACTCCTCAGTGAAAACGGTAACTTTGACGTGTAAAAATCTCAGCCCCAGCGGTTGTTTGCAGGCTATGTGGAAGTGAAATGCGAGTTTTGCGCTGAGACTGTCCGGTTTGTGGAAGAAGACTTGAAAGAAATATTCACACATTCCTAAGAACATTCTTATTTACTAAGAACTACTAAGAATGTTAAAGATCAGGCTTTCATTGAATTAAATAATTTGCTGCATTGTAATGTTAATAATAGCATTTTTAAAAGTTCATACGAGCTTATAAATGAGTCTTATAGAGAATTCGCAAGATGCTCCTCAGCTCCTCAGAATTTGACACTCAATTGTCATCACATAGATCATCTCATAGTTTCGTAACTCCGATTTGTTATTATTCTCCCCAAAAAGTCCTTGCATTTCTTTGGTTGTGGAATCTGTAAGAGTACAAAATAAAGACAAAAATACAAAGAAAAACAAAAATCATGATTGATTTCCTCTGCTGCTAGTTTGTTTCTCCCCCTTTGTTTCTACACGTAGTGTGCCTTTCGGATCCCTGGAGGGGATGCATAGAGATTGTTTCCTTTGCTGGTTTCTCTTGCGGTGCCCATGGCTCCTTCAAACCTTCCAGCGTGGCCCAAGGTAGCAAAGCCTGAAAATAGAAGAAGAGAGGTAAAAGAGAAGACTGCAATGTCTTGGAACGTTATGATCCTTGGATATGCACCAAAGCCGCCAAAACAAAATGGTCAATTGCATAGGCCCTTCATAGGCAGCTTGTATCTGATTTTAAGGTGCCTTTCTCAACTTCCTTTCTCGATCAAAATAAAACATTAGGATTGAATATCTAAAAGAAACAAAGGGCACCATGAAAGAAAACCTTGCGATTTGGCTGTTTAGAAAAGACTTTTGCATGCCATGACCTGCGATTATGGCACTAGAGTTGACTGGATCTAATTTCCCATCACATGCTGACTTGGAATTACTATGTGCATTCTCCTGGGAAGAGAAGGATTGCAACAAGGCCAAAGTTTACTATGTCCCATGCCACTTTGTCAAGGGTTTTTCTATAATCCATGGCCTCGAGCTTAGCCACCTGAAACATTTTTGAAGTAATATAGTTTTTGCATTGTCCTCTGTAAACATCTTTTTAATGGCATTAATAAATCCGACAGTGACAGCGGGAATGTTCTACTCAATTTATAAAGCCAAGAGTGCAAGTTGATGCCTAAATTGACAAAGTCATGGACTGTGCATAGTTTTTGTTACTGCTCCAGCCCCACTTGCTTGATCAAACATAAATTGCAACATAGAGATCAACTAGCTCTGGGGCATTAGATGCATGTTCATCATGACTATGACACATTTTAAAGGAATTGTGTGTGTGTGTGTGTTTTTCAACGTTTAAGTATTCATTAAACAATAAAATTTGATCATTACTCATTAAAAATTTTATTTTGTTAAAATTAGAATTTAAAACTGCTATAGAGGTGTTTACAAAGAACAATGCAAGAAGGCCACTAAAGATGTCTTATCTAGTTTTACATATATAAATTATTTTATTAAATAAAGAACAACATTTTGAAGTTTATTACATTATCATTATAGATAGATTTCATTATTCTCTATCCTACCAAAGCATGGGAGCCATATGGTCTGCTATATTTTAATTGTGTGGGGTTTGCCTTCTCATTCAACCCCACACAATTAAAATATTGGCACACCAAGTGGTTCCCATGCTTTGGTAGGACAGTGAATAATGAAATCCATCTAAATCTCCTATTGCAAACGTAGTGTAAATGATTAATTTAACAACACTGCCACGTATAGTCTTTACATTTTACCCTTTTGGTCGAGCCTAGCTAAAGGTAATCAATAAAGTTCCTTAGCCCCACTTTTTTTACACCTTCGAATCGAGTTAATATTAAATGTGAGCTCTTAAGTTTAGACTTTCCAAGAAATCACCCAACTTAATATTATTTATTATTTAAACTCAAGGACAGTTAGCCCCAAATATCTTAAAACCCTTAACTGATTAGAAAAAGGGATATACTTTTATTTATGGGTTTTTTCTTTTTATATTTGAACCCCTACAAATCATTTATTGAGTTGTTCCCTTTGGTTGCTTACAATTAGTTTTAGATGTATGGTGGGAGAATAGCATTAGGTAGTTGGTAGCATGCTTAGTTTTTATATTAATTTTGATAAGACATGGGGAATGTATATACATATTTCATTATTACACTTGTTTTCACTTTGCCATCTTTATTTAGCTTCACTCTACTATTATATTTGTTCAGCCTACTATGTTAGGGGTAAATGTTCTATTAAAACTTGATATAATCATCCTCACTCTACAATTCATATCGTTCATCCTCATTCTACTATTGTATTAGTTCATCTTCACTCCATTGTCAAGATTGAACTCTCATTTGTCCCTTACTCTTCCAAAGAGTAAAAAGCTTGCAATATTAAAATAAAAAGGAAAAAGTGTGAAAAATTGAGAAATAAATATTATGGAAGAAGAAAAATGTGAGTAAAGAAGCATTGAAAGAGGAATTTTAGTAATTATCAAAATAGAAATGGATAAATAAATAAAAAATATGCTCATCTTATTATAAAAGTCTATCCAAGTAGAAAAGCTAGATAATAGAGGATATCTTGCTATAAAATATATCAGCCACCACAAGGTAAACAAGATATGCATACCACTCAACCTTTTTAACATATAATTTAACAATTGAGATAAGAAAATCATTAGAAAATCTATACTATTAAAAGAATGGAACAAAATTCTTAGTAGCAATGGTAAGGCAAATATATTTAGCAGTAGTTTTATTAAAGAGAATGCACTCAATTTAAATTTTGGCAAAAGTTATTCAACTATTAGAATAAAGGAATATTCAATATAAGAAACAATAAAAGAATCCACCAACAAAACAAAATAAGAATCTTAGCTTCACCCATATACTCAACATCTAGATTAATATGAGGAGGACAGAAAATACTCAACTTAATACTAAATTAAGAAAAAAAATCATAAGTCAAAATTGATTAACATATTAGGAAAAGAAAATACTATAATCTATATATGAGAAAAAAGCACTTGAAATCTAAGATGGTGGCAAAGTTAAGAAATTAGGAAATGTAGTGTATATAATTTTCACCCTTTGCTCTATAATGATTTACTATAGAATAACAACAAAGTGAAATCTAACCCTTATATATGTGTGCCAAAGGCATTAGAATGAGATTTGAGTTTTAGAGTCTTGGGCTATTAAACTAAGGGATGGAATCAAAGTCTTGAGCATATAACTAAGGAACAAAATAATAAGAGTTCCTAAGTGCATAGAAGGAGTGAAGAAATATAAATAAAGAGTAATATTATAAAAGTCTTAGAGCATTTAGCATCCTAATGCTAAGACTAGTATGCAAAGCAAGCTAAATAAAGATTTCAATATACTATAAGTAATAAAAGGAAATAACTTGTGAGGTCCAATTGTATGGCTAAAATGTCATATACTAATATTAGCATAGTGAGATTTTGGTAGCTATCAGATTGGTTTCAATCTAAACCACTTGCTCTTGTATATAAATTAAAGTTTTTGGGCTAATTAATATGCACAATTTTATATTTCATTTTTATATTTCATGCACTCACATTGGTGGAAGTGAGGGGCAACTTTGACTGTCCCTAAGGAATGTTGAGATTTGAGATTTTAGTTTAGATTTAACTTTTGCATTGTTTAGATCTCCTTTTTGCTATACCTTTTCTCAACTTCTTCTCTTTTGCTTTTTCTTTTCGTTCATCTTCATAGTAAAGTAAATGCCTCTTTCTCCTTTGACTTTGGAGCAATAGTTGGTGTAATTGCTTAACGTTATGTAGTTGCAATTGAATAATCAAACTCAATTAATGGTGGCATTCATAGCGCATGGTACAACTCCTTTTACTTTTATTGCCAATCCTCGAGTTTGGTCAAAGTTCTTCCATGGGAATCTTGGGGATGATATGTACAATTGGTTTAATCACTTCATGGTGATTGCCACATATCACTTTTGGGATAATGCTTAATGTTTGTGTGAATTTCCCATATGTCTCCAAGAGATGGCACTACAATGGTAGAATGGTTTGAGCACATCCACTTGTGAGAACTAGAGTATTTTCCTGAACGTCTTCAAACATGCATTTGAACATGCTGACAATTATATAATGATACCTTCCAACAATTGGATTGTCTTCATCAAAGGCCATCTAAGTCTATGATGCAATTTGGCATTCATTTTTAAAGCCTCTTGCTTCATGTAGAGCTAAATATGTTAGAACGGATTAAGTTTAGAATGTTGTGGCCAACATTTCATTAAAATTTTATAAAACTTATGCATGCACTTACCTTGATGATGCTCTTCGCTTAGTACAACGTTATAAAACGTCACCTTTTCCACTTGTTGCACATTCTTCAGCTTTACTTCTTGTGGGAGATGGTTTTATTCTAATAGAGGTTGATATTATTGCTACTCAAGTACAAAGACAAAGGCAAGGATATAGTTGTGGTCGTGATATTCACTATTAGGCATGTGATGAAGTTAGTTACACGTATTGGCATTATTAGCATTTTCCGAATTAGCAACTTTCATTTCCTATGTGGAGACCTTGGTGTCAACAATATCTTGTTGGTGCTGCTATAGTAGAAGGTTTAGACACCGAGATGCTTTTGGGAAATGAGGAGTGACATAAGTAATGAAGGGTCCATGCGCGAATAGGTCAGTCACCCCTCCATCTTTCTTTTGGGAGTATCATTAAGGGGTTCACTTGGCACTAGTTTATCTAGTGTTTACTTTTCAAGCTCATTTTTATAATAAGAGATCTCCTATTATTCTCTTTATATTGGTTGATACAAGCTTGAGTTTATTTTCTGCTTTTTGGCCTATTGCCATATGTTGCCATCTATAGTTGCATCGTGTGGCAAAGCTAGTTTTCATTCTTTATGGCAACACCGTACACACGTATATGTATAGGATGAGGCAGACTTAATTGTCTGTGTGGGTGATTTTGAGTTTGAGCTACAGTCATTGTAGGTGATGTCAACTCAAGCTTCTAACTTCATCCTTTGTATAGATTAGTTGCAGCATAATTATGCCAAATGTGACTTTGAGGCTTTTCCCCCTTGTCTCATACTTTTTTATATTTTTTCCATTCCTCCCACTTCTGTTCCTCTTTGTTTGCTTCTACCTTTGCTTCTATCACTTTTGTCTCTTTATTACTTCTTTCTATATTTC